CGCTTGGGTTACCGTATAATTACCGTTACGGTAATGGACATTGTACAAGCTAAATACTTGGATTATTAATATTTTATGTATAGATCATTTTAAAATAGCAAGCAGAATAAGGAGACAGAGGGAAATATCTATTTCTACTTGTTGATCTTTCTTTTCTTTGACTTCTTAATTTTTTTCTTCATGATTTTTGATTTTCTGATTTCCAGTCCTTCGTTTCCTTTCCTTTTTAATACTAAATTTTGATTGATTTAATAATTTTTTTTTTTTTTTGACTGATTGATTAGTAATTTTATGTTCTTATGTTAAGATAAAAATATTGAAGAAAGATTTAAAAAGTGAAATTTGAAATTTATTTATCAGCTAATCATTTAAAAGAATTTTCTAATGAAATTCCAAATGCAAATATATAGTAATGAAGAAAAATGTTATAAATGAAGTCAATTAAACACTAATTGGAAATTTTAAATTTTAGTTAAGATCCATTTAGGTATCATTTGTAAAATAAATCAAAACATACCTGATGGTCGTAATGAATCTCCTAATTTCGGCGAATAAGTTGCAGGTGTAGTGGTGATAAGCACTGGAGCTGTTATACCAGCATTCTGTTCGATTCGTCGTGCTACCTGCAATTAAAATTACATTTTATCATTTTCAACTGAAAGGTATGTATGATTTTAAAAGTGAATATGAATGAACAAACTTGTCCCATATTAGCTCTCATATCTGGATTCAGTTGCCAACAATAATTATGTACGACTTCTACAATCCATGGTGGTGCTTCTAGTGGAAATGGCATTTTATATCCATTTATAACCTGTGTCAAATTCATGTGTAAGCATTTTAGAAAGATAACACATTCAAAACTTAATTTAGTTAATTTTAATGAAATTATAGAATTCATTGATGAAATTCATCCTTCTATTGATATATTTACATGTTGAGAAGTATATTTCAAGGGACAAAATTCGTTCAAAGCAATTTGAAAAGCATTTGATTTTGAGTGAATTTATGTCAAGACGATTTGATTTAATTAATTAAGTGTTCTATGATTTTAAATATTTTTTATAATAGTCAGTGTATCTGTTCAGAAAATTCAGAATCTTTGATAATTAAAATGAAAAAAATTAATTTTTAATTTAGCAAAATTTATTATACTTTTTCTTTCACTTGTGCATTTGTCATTCCTGGATATGGTTCTGCTGCATTTGCAAAAATTTCCCATACCATAACACCGTAACTCCATACATCCGTTTTAGAAGTGTAAACTAATCGTTGGATTGTTTCTGGTGCAAGCCATTTGATTGGTACTCGTCTTGCTTTTGTCATATGATATTCGTCACCTTCACGTGACAAACCAAAATCCGATATTTTCACATGCAACAGAAATGACCTTTTCATGAACTGATTGTATTTTGTGGAACAAAGTTTTGATATCTATCAAATGATTATGACAAACAAAAAGCAATTAAAGTAACAGAGAAGAAGTAAATACAGACCTAATTAATCGATAGAAATTTAATAAATAAATTAACAGTCGATAGTGTGTGGATATATTTTTTTTTAAAAGGAAAAACCGTTTGTTTTTCGTATTGAATTATTGAAAATTGAAATCTTATTTTAGATATGAAAAGCAAATGAATAATTTAAAAAATTTTTGTTTAATTTTTTATTTAAAATTTAAATATTTTTTAAGAATTAATCCAGTTTTGATTAATTTAATGTCAAATTTTGAAAATTCACTCTCACATAGATATATTCAACTTAACTTTGTTTAGTTCAGTAAATAAATAAATAAACTAACTATTCCAGTGCGTGTAAGTAAACAATTCCTAGCAGCAATATCACGATGAATACAATTTTTTGAATGTAAATATTCTACACCCCAAGCACCACCAGCAACCATTTTTTCAACTTTATCTTTCACTGAAACTCGATTTTTCTTCAAAAAATCATCCAATGCACCACCATCCACCTGTAAATCTTGAAATATTAATTAATTTTTTTTTTTTTGAACGTTAAAAAGGTTAAATAATTTAATGAAAACTAATTTACGTCAGCACTTTAATAATAAGAAATCAAACAAATGTTTAAATGAAATATAATAATATACATGTATACGTCAGTTCAGAATTAACTTAAGTGTATATGACGTGTGACGCAACTTTAAGTATATATGACATAGTTCACATATATAAGACGCAATTTTTAAGGCATTTCGCCGAATAATTGAAGAAATCAACAATCAAAAATATAAAATTATATGCACACGTAAATTGTAAATGCATACGTAAAACATAGTAGGTCAAAGTAACGATTTTATTCTATTATATTAAAGAATACTCACTAATTCCATAACAATAAGTAATGGATCATGTTCAACGCATACGCCATACATACGTATGACGTTTGGATGCTCATAATTACGCATTAGACGTGCTTCCTTCATCATTTCTTTTATTTTTTCTTTAGACGTTTCTGCTGTTTTAGCCTAAAAAAAAAACCTAAAAATTCAAATTTATTCATTGTTTATTGTAAATATTTCTAATGATAATAGATAATTATATTTTATATTCAATTTCATATTATCAAATAGTCTAACAATTTTATCAATGATTAATGATAATCAAACCAATTTAATGGCCACTTCAATCACTCTTCCTGTTGGAAGTTTATATTTGCCAGAAAATACTTCACCAAATTCACCTTCACCAATTTTGTTTTCGATTATAACTGTTTCATGTCGTAATTCCCATGGTGGTCGAGTTATTGCTCGTTTCAAAACCGCCTTTGGTACCTAAAAAATTTAATTTACTAAAAAATAATGCCCGAAAAATGATCATTTTTAGCTAAAAAAAAGTGGAATTAAATTACTTATAACCATGTCTCAAGCAAATATTTTAAAGTTAGCAGTAAGCGAGATTATAAAGTTAATATTTAAGATTGCATTTAAGTTAGTATTATAGCGAAACATTGTAAACAATATCCAAAATCTCCAAATTGAATTTTATTTCTATATTAATGATATAAATAAAGTAATAGAATTAATTTGGTCCAAAGAAAAAAAAAATTTTTGTTGCAGGAAAATCGCCATATTATTTAATATATATCATTTCATTAAATAATTCTTTTGGCATCTAAGACAAAAATTTTTCACTTATACAAGAAAAATACTATGTATTTTCTAAACTTATAAGCTCAACTTGGAGATTTCTTTTTAAGGATTGGAATTAAATGTTAACTATAATTCATATCTAAGTTATTAACGTAATTTTAACTTAAAAAAAGTTTACAACGATTGAGGATAAGTTAGATTTAAAGTATAATATTACCGTGCTAAGCACCGGTTCACCACATTTTTGATAAAATTGTATAAGCTCTGGTACGCTATCAAAGCTTGCTCGAGCATCGGTCACGTATTTTCCGTATGCATTTTGTTGTACCACTATATGTCTTAGCTAAATTTCAGCATTTTTTAGTTTACTTTTCATTTTCTTCCGCTTTTTATCTCATTAAAAGCAATAATTCTTTTTATGATTAGCAATAGCTCTTTCAATTCATTTAATTCAAAAAGAACTGTTTTATTTCCAACAATTAGCAGCGCTAAGATATCCGACAAAAAATATTAGATTGCAGTTGATGGTTCTGTAGAATTGTAAATGATGCTATTGTGATATAGCATAATACTACGAAAAGTTTAGATTAGAATACCGAAATGATAAGAAAAGATTATCATTAATGTAGAAAAATTATCAATTAGCAAATTTTATAAGAAATTTATCCTTTAGTCCATTCTTATTTTATTTTATGGAAAAACTTCATAATTTATATTATAAATAATTATGTTATTACAACTTCAATAAATTATATTACTTTACTTTCTGAAATCGATCTAAAAAGTTTTCTCAATTATAACTCATAGTGGAAATTTCCATAAATCCGGCTATAAAATATAAAATGCAAATTTATGCAAATTCTTAGGATAAATAATCGACAGAAACACATACATACATACATAAACACACACACACAGCAAGACTTCTCGGCTTGTTAGCTGTAAGTTAAATTATGAATTTGATTACATTTCTTCAATTAATGCGTTAAAGGGATAAATTTTGACTCATTTTTTTTGAAGATAGAAAAAGTAATCATAGAAAACAAAAGATTCAATTAATTGTCAACACTTTAATTTGTGGTAATTTTCAAGAAAACATATCGCCAGAGATTATAATATGCTTACAATTGCACCCCTTTTCTCCACCAAAATAGAAATAATGACTTGTCGTGGTTGATTCGGTGCTGTTTCACTTGATCGTACCAAAAAATCGCCTTCATTGATTAGCAAATGTGGTAAATCTTCGCGTGGTAACAAACCGTGGTAATAATTTTCGTCCTCCAAATTCCCACCACCCATTGTTGTTATTCATAAAATTTGCCAATTTTCTCAAAAAAAAAAGACAGGTTCACAATGAAATCCAACATAGACATTATTTTTTATAGTCTCTCAATCCTAGAACTCTTCCCAGATTTCAATTCATCACTTTGCATAACCTCATAAATCTCTGAAGTTTGTTAAGGCTTGCTAAAATAAGAATCACGAACTTCTGAGAGCTTTGAACATATATCTTTTTATTATTCAACATTCGATAATTTACAATATTCAGCATTGAAATTTCTTCCAGCATTGCATTTTCAAAACAAATGTTTCGAGTTCATACAAATTCATAGCTACCTTTTATAATTGAGCAGAAAATTTCGAAACTCAACAAGTTTATGAACCGACGTATCGTGACTTCTATATAAAGAAAATGAACAAAATGAGGAAATCTCAACATTTTTAACATTATTTATTTTAAGAGAAATACTTGCATAAGTAGGAAAATTTAAATTAGAAGATTAGTGGATTCGACTTCTATATAAAGTCTTATAATTCAACTTTCATGATATGACTTTTGAACAATTTCTTTTATTTCTTTTTGATAATAGTAAATTACGTTTCACTTTCAAGTATTGGTTTTAAAAACTTCTAGAAAATCCTGCAAACTTGTCCCTCTGCGTATCGGTGTTTGACTAGCCAGAACACGTTGCAATTTCGATGCCAGCTTTCGTCGACGTCCAGAAGATGAAATTTTCCTTTCCATTACACTGAAAGAGATATTTGATGCAACACTTTTAAGAGTTGTGATCGAAAAGAAAACCTCGAACAAAATTAGCAAGAAAGTAAACTTTTTGTTTTTCTGCAAGATATCGTGGTGTGAAAATGTGTTGGACAGAACTGATTGATCAAAATGAACAAGTTGAAGTGATGTATGGCCACATATATCACAAAAATATATTGCAATATGTGAGAGAGTGTACACAGCAGAAAAAACATATTTGATTATTAATTGTATATTGAAACATCTCATTCATAAAAATATGTTGGCATTGATGAGCAATCCAGGAAAGGAACCTCCTGAATTAGGTCATTGTTGCAAATTATTTTCATCCCCATAATCGCTATTGCAATGTGGTGAAGATGCTGACACTACATGTAATGAGTAAACACTTTTACTTAAATATTTCTCTCCCCTTCAACTATTCGCTGTTTGAAAATTTTAATGTCCTAATAAATACAGCTAATTTATGGGCATATGTGTTGCACATCGTCATGAAAATTTAGTTCAGTAAAAAAACAAAAAAAACAAAAAACAACAGCTACAAATGATAAAAACTTTAAATTAATTCAGTCTCAACAAATTTTAGATTTCCAGTTAACTTTAACGAACATTTGTTCCTGTATTTTTGCACAATGTAATAGTTATACCTCGATGAAAATACATCCGTGTTTTAAAGAACTAAAGATGAATTAAAACGAAAGAAAAACTGAAAACATGAAACCAACTGCCTGGAAATTGGAGTTTCTCGAAATGAAGTTCTTGGTGTAGAAAAAGCAGATTGTACTGAAGATCTTCGTGATTCTTCTCTCAAACTTTGATCAAAAGATGTATTTATATCTCTTCTCTCACATTCTTTAATTGTCAATCTTTCATGAAAGGCGCCACCTTTCATTTCAGCTCCACATCCTTTGCAAACCACTATCAACTGAGACCTAAATTAATAAACATTCGAAAGAGTTAAAAATCATTTTTTTCTGTGTAAATTGAACTTGGATTAGCTTAGCGATAATCTAGTTTATATGATATCAGAAATGGAAATACAAATGCTAAGGAAAACTAACTTTTTGAAATAGTTGTTTAATTTTCTAGTGCACAAATACTATTTGAAGGTAAGTTTAAAAGTAAGGGAAGCAAAAAATATGCTGCTTGATAGTTTTTTTTTAGTATGTAGAAAGGTTAACGCCTATATGCACTGAAATATAAGAGAAGTTGCCGCTAATGAAAACAATAAACAACAGTATCGATCCTCACTAAATGAAAGGATCGAATGAGAGAATTCAATTTCGAATTCACAAATAAGTTAATCATTATTGGTTATACCGCGTTGTATGCAGTATTTGCTAAAACTTTAACCTCTTATATTTTCTCCATTTGCTTTTTTTCACTTTTCTTTTATGCACTGACAATCTGAATGAAACAGTCTTTGTAGAAGTCAAATCCAAATTACATCGAAAGCAATGACACAGTTTCTTCTTATCTTCGAATCCCGAATCCTACAATTGGTAGGAAATTGCCATAATCATCGTGCACCACTTGAACAATCCCGTTTGATGGAAAAAGTTCATCAATCAAGAGAATGGAAAGTTAGAAAATAAAATTGGCAGAAAGAATGTCTTTGAAATCGATTAAATTGCCTATTCCTATAAAAAATGAAGAAGCATTTAATATCTTAAACATAATGTAAAACTGTTACTTTCAATGCTTGTGATGCATTTCTCGTCAATTCTGCTGCAAATGGTGCTGGAATACCAAGTTCAATGCACTTTTTAGCATATTTCTGAAAATGGTGCACCATGCGATAGACGTGCTGTCCGGATTTGGTAGCTGTTTCCATAATATCGCTTCTTCTCTCCATTTCTGCTAATCTTAAATAACCAAATTATATCCTCATAAATTGTAAAGGTTAAAAATATCAGGACAGAACTTAAGGTCCATGAATCTCACTTTCAACAACTTAACCAACTTTTATGAATCACAACCTTTTTAACATGAGTTAATGTTTGATAATGTCTGTAGTTGTTGGTAACAGAAGATATAATGCCACGTAAGATCCACTTTGCTCTTGCATTTTTTAAGTCTATAATATTACGTGTAATTATATTGCGCACTCATATGGATGAGTATACAACTCATACGTTCATATTTCGATACGTCATAACACTTACCCGTATATAAATGTTATTCATTAGTAGGTTCCAATCGATTTGTTTCTGCAATAATATTACAATTCCACTGGAATTTCAAGCCATATGAGTTTCCCACAAGCTTTATGAGCTGGTGAACTCACTAACACACTGTTACGAATATGAATGTAATAGTGAGAAATCATATCGCAATGTTAATCATATACACTTTTCAATAGTCTTCGATAAATTCACTTATATGGTACATAACAAAAATTCAACAACAAGGTTTATTCAAACCGACCAAAAAAGAACATGATGACAATACTGATTAACAGACGTCCCACAAACCTGTAGATGATAAACAAAAGCTAAATTTCCAATCATGAACAAGGCCGTTTTCACTTGATATTTGATAAAGAAGCATTGAGTGACCATATGACATAAAAAATTGAATTTTTGAATAGCCGAACTAAATGAAATAATCCAGCCTTAACTCACAATGAAGACATATTCGTATGGCTCACAAAAACGAGTGACAATGAAGCAATTCATGAAAAATTAACTTGAATATTAAAAGCAAAAATTGGATATAAACAGCTATCCAACAGCAGTTCTAAGTGATTATTTTCAACTGTTTTCGGTCATTTTAGCTAAAAGTCATTATAAATTTTAGCAAAGATGGAGAGTAAATTGGGAGTGATGCCAAAGGGAAGACTACAAAACTACAAATAATGCGTCTTATAACTCATATTCGGGAGTAATCCAAAAGAAGCAAATTGTTCATTGGATTTGTCCATATTCTTTTTTTTACAGAAAATCAATTAAAAAAGAAAAAAAAAAAACAAAAGTATGAAGAAAAAAAAAAACCAAAAATATCTGGATAAATATCCCGTTAAAATTATGTTTTTAAAATGTTTGACAAATCGCAAAAGTCCGGGAAAAAGACAATTGAACATGACCCATTAAAGCGGTGTGACCACTTGCAATTGCTTAAAAATTGCAACACAAAACCTAACGGTAACCTACAGTGGTCTTATCTATTCTATGAATTCCAACCGCTGCAAATAAGAGATACCGCAATAGAGAATAGCAGTGAGCATAAAATGGGAGAATTTTACTGAGGAAAAAGACAATAAACCTGAGTGGGGCAGGGTGTCGTGTAAGAGATGCTAAGTAATCTTTTTTTAAAAAAAATGAAGCTGAAAAGTTAAAATAAAGGAAATAAGTCGACGATTTCTTCCTTCACGGATTTTGACTTTTCGAAGATGCCAGCACCGATGCTGCCTCCGAAACTTTCGACTGTAATAGTTCCTCATTCTCTAGCATCATCAGTAACTCCGAGTTATCCATTTCAAGCATCATTCCTGTTATTTTTCCAACATCAGGGCCCTGATAGATGCGCTCAATCAGCGGATAAATACGCTCACCAAGCATTTGTTTTTGTTCCTGTAAGCAGGCTTTATAATTGTTCCGTAACCAGTATAATGAAAAAGAAAAAACCGTTCTATTCCTTCGTCTCCTTTCTTACTGATTTTGTTTCGTCCGTCACCACATTAATTTGGAATTTCATTGATTTTAGATTTAGTTCGTTACAAAAAATATCGAAATCAAACCTGTGGAAGAGCCTGTGCAAGCATGTGAGCGGTCAGTGGTTCTTGACCCTGGATGACGATGCTGTTCTGCTGAGACTGTACCTGACCTGGACGTCCAGTAATGGCACTATACGATGAATACATCATTTGTCCCTGGTTAGGTTTTCCAGGTTGTGTTTGTCGTCCTCCCTAAAGGTATTCAAATAATCCAGTACTCAGGAAAATACAATGAGTCAAGACTAACTCTATAATTAAAAAACTAATTCGGTGGTGAAATAGATATAACAAAAACGCACCATCTGTTGCGAACGAGTACCTTGATTTTGAACCATAGCACTACCGGCAGTCAAACGTTGCGTCTGCGGACCACCACGTGTAACACCAGTCTGCCCTGGTCCATATTGACCCTGCTGAGCTCGCATAGCCACTGCAGCAGAGGAAGCTGCTGGACGTGTACCGCCTCTGCCAGCCTGCCCATACCCACCACTTTGTACCATGTATGGCGATTGCACACCTAAGAAGACAGTAAGCTGATCTGCCTGATCGATTATGCCGAATTATCGTATTCAACTTGACAGTACTGTACAATGAATACATCACTGACGTACCCTTTGCTTTACTACTTACATAAAATTGCCATCATAACAAAATTGTTAAAACAAACCAACAGCAACTGTCAAGACAAAAGACATGGATTCATGAATCTGCCCTTATGCATAGAACTCTTTCAGTATCACGTCTTGAAGCAGCCAAAGCAAATCGGGAAGAATCCTTTCCTCACATTATGCTATCATTTAATATTAAAATGTACCAAATCCAGCAGCTGCGCCAATCGTGTTCCATCTTGGTGTTGTTCCACGCATTTGAGCACCAGGAATAGTTGCAGTTGGCATAAAAGCTCGTTGATTCTGTAATGTCGATGAAACGAAAAATCCGCCAGTGCCAGGTGTGTAAACGGTTCCAGGCATGCTACCAGCATTATGCATACGAATAGATGCAAGACGTTGCATATATTGTGATGCCAACTGTGCTTTACGATCTTCCTTACGCTGTGCCAAAGCAACGTACAAAGGTTTTGTACACATCATCTTGCCATTCATTTCAGTGACCGCCTAGAAATAAAAAACGCAGCAATTACAAAAAAAAAAAAAAAAAACACGTCAAAAAGTGACAACAATTAATAGTAGAAGTACGTGAAACACATAAGAAACATTCTTAAAGAATCATAATTTTATGAATATTACCTTTGTCGCTTCATCCGGTTTTTCAAAGCAAACAAAACCGAAACCCTTAGAACGTCCATTATCGTCGCACATAACCTTGGCCGAGGTGATCTTTCCATACGCTTCGAAATTTTGCTTTAAAATATCGTCATTTACCGTATCATCCAAATTTTTCACATACAAATTAACTCCCTGATAACGTTGCATACGTTCAACCTTCTGCTGTTCATAGCGGCGTTTCAGCTCTGCAGACCGCTCATTCTTCTTTTGTGCACGGCAAACATACAGCTTACGTTCTGTTCCTGGGAGCTCATATTCGTGCATTTCTGTTACCGCCTGCAAATTCGAGACATATTTTAATTAAGTATTTTTACTATGTCACTTCTAAGTTACCTTTTCGGCATCTTCAGGATTTTCGAATGCAACGAATCCAAAACCCTTTGACTTCCCATCAGCATCCACCATAACAGCCGCGCTTGTTATCTTCCCAAATTTGGAAAACAATTTTTCCAAAGCTTCTTTATCCAGTTCATCTGCGAAATTTTTTATGTAAACATTGGTGAAACGACGAGCTGTTTCACCCATTTCACGAAGACGTGCCGTACGTGGTTGGAATTTGCCCACATATCTAAAAATGATCTTAGCGCAAAAAAAGGTTACATAAACATTTTTACACACTTCTGCTCATACAATTTTGGTCAAAGCAAAAGCTGCTGCTACCTTGTCTCTAAAAAACAAAATAAAATACTGCAAACGTACACTTTCTTTCCCTCCAGAAGCATTCCATTTACTTTTTCAATTGCCTTCTGAGCACTTTCTTCTGTTTCGAAGTGGACAAAACCGTATCCCTTGCTGTTCGACTCTTCGTCATTAGCGACCTACAAACTCTGCAATCAATACAACAAAACCGCCTCTTACTTCACAGATTTGATCCAATCGATGCCGATTTCTAGTGGGCGTTATGCCCTACACACAGTCAAAATGTGCTTCTGAAGATACCTTTAACCCAATCGAACTGTGTTTTCAAGAACTTTGAATCAATCAATGACGACTATAGTGCTGTGTGGTATACACAATTATATTTTCTTAGCTAAAAACGTAATGCTAGATATGCAAATAAATAGTTAATTATATTTCACAAACAAACCTTGCAACTTAGGATATTTCCAAACATTGAGAATGTATCGTAAATGGCTTTATTGTCGATACTTTTGTCTAGGTTCTTAATAAAAATATTGCCAGCACCCGAACGACGCATTGATGGATCACGCTGCGACCACATAATACGAATAGGTTTACCATACATCATGTCAAAGTTCATTGTGTCTAAAGCCCTCTCCGCTATAAATAAAAATCATTGTACATAGAAATCAGAGAAGCGAAATTATTTGCTTATAGACCATCGTATTATAGGGTGTAGGTACGAAATTTGGGAAGTTAAGAGTATTACAACAACATTCCACTACATTTTCTACAATCAATATTTTGGAAATAATCCTGTCTAATAGTACAATAAAAGCAGATGATAATTTTAATCCTTGTCCCAATGATTTCCAGTCTTTTATCTCTTGTAGTGTCTGCACACCGCACAATAAATATGAAAGGTTAAAGTCCTAGGTATTTCATCATCCAAGTACATTACTTTGTGACTGCAAATTCCTACAATGGGCTCATAAAATTCGAATTAATCAGGCTATGTCTTAGTTTATCTGTTTCAGCGTACAAAGAGCTTAATTTGGATGTAGTGTCATTTAATAATTCTTAGCGGTTAAGATCATCAGGGTGAAAAATATGACAGTAATTTTAGCAATTTGATGATTGACAAAGATAGCTAACCGTCGGCAGGCTGTTGAAAGTTGACATAAGCATAACCCAGTGAGCGTCTCGTGATTGCATCACGGCATACACGAATAG